GAGCCACCGTAAACTCCTCCTTAAGAGCGGCCTGCTTGTCCAGCAGCTCAACGCTGACCCTCCTGGCCAGATCAAGGAGAACCCAGAGCGATTGACTAAGGTGCAGCTGTCCCGTCAGAGGCTGATGAGGGAGGTCTGTGCCAAATACACAAGCGGAACCACCAAACAGACTATAACCCACATGCATGTGTCCCGTATCTTTGTGGAGGACAAGCACAAACTCCTCTACTGTGAGGTGCCCAAGGCGGGCTGCTCCAACTGGAAGAGGGTGCTCATGGTGCTTCAAGGTCTTGCTTCTTCCACTGGGGAGATCCAACATGACGAGGTGCATTATGGGAATCATCTCAAGCGTCTTGACTCGTTCGATCAAAATGGAATCATTCGTCGTCTGAAGACCTACACCAAAGTCCTCTTCCTGAGGGAACCTTTCGAAAGGTTAGTGTCTGCTTTTCGGGACAAGTTCCAAAGTCCAAACTCGTACTACCACCCCGTGTTCGGGAAGCCCATCATATCGAAATACCGCAGCAATGCGACGCAGTATGCCTTGCGCACGGGAGCGGGCGTGACCTTCAAGGAATTCATCCAGTATCTGTTAGATGTGCATCGGCCGGTTGGCATGGACATCCACTGGGAGCCCGTAGGACATCTTTGCAGCCCCTGCTTGCTGGACTATGATTTCATTGGGAAATTTGAGACTCTGGAGGAAGAAGCCAATTTCCTTTTGAGAAGTATCGGAGCTCCTAGCAATTTAACATTCCCTAGTTTTAAAGACAGGAACCCTAATGCAGAAAGGACATCTTTGGATATCACAAGGGGATATTTTGCACAACTAAATGTGACGGAGAGACAAAGAGTGTATGACTTTTACTACATGGACTATCTGATGTTCAACTACTCCAAACCGTTTAAAGATTTATACTGAGGCTTTTACAGTAGTCTAATGAACTTTCTGTTGGCCTGATGTTCACATTTTGTCCTAGTGAGGTTATTTTATTACTGTCAAATGTCATTGTTTATTTGATAGCAAATTTCAATGTGAAATATTACTCACATTCTGTACTTATCTCTGCAGGCTGGTCCTTGCGTTTATCTTGTTATTTACAAAACATATTCAATTCTATTCAGTAAGAAACCTCTTAATGGGATAATCTGCCCCAAAAATAAAAATTTGACAATTTACTCACTCTTCATGTCGTTTCAAACCTGTGTGAACAAATAACAAATTATTTTGAAGAATGTTTCAGCTGTTTTTGTAAAAACAATGAAAGTCAATATGGTCCAAAACAATGGTAGACAAAAACAAAATACATTTTTCAGAATATCTTCTGCTGTGAAGGTGAGTAAATGATGTCAGAATTTTCATTTTTGGCCAAACTGTCCCTTTGTTGTGTGTGATTTGTTTTCTCAGACTGCCTAGAATGAATAGACTGTACTAAGAGTGTCTAAAAGTGATCATAATGTCATTTATATTAGTGTTGAAGGAAAGTGTCCAGCTATGAGTATCACTGCTCGATATAACATTGCGAAACATTTTCAACAACGAGACAGATCATTGCTGGATTTAGTGTGGTACATCTGGACTGGTAATGGTAAAATCAGATTTTTTGTGAATTTATAAAAAACAATTTGTCTACAGTGTGTCATGTATTAGAGCATGACCTTCTACACCTTTGCCTTACTTTCACATTTCTCATATTATTACGTTTTCTGTATATTAATAAATGTAAGCACAATATTTTAATGTTAGTTAGATGACATCTCTGCGCGATTACCTTCTTTATTGTTATAATGACATTGTATCAAAATTCCAGTCATTTCTAGGCCTCAGTCACTAGTAGCTAGGTGTACAGTAAACTCAACACATTCTCTCATCTTTCACCCTTTGTTTGAAGGTTAGTAACATATTTTTGATTGTTATCCAACTTATTTTTCATTGCGGAAGTAAGCTATTTCCTGTGAATCCGCAAGACTTTTGATTCATTAGCCGCTAATGATAAGTAACCAGAAGAATAACAACGTGCAGTAAACGGTAAAAGTATTTACGCAACAAACCAGTGTATTTATAATTATTATGATATATTAAAAATAATAAGAAAAAGCCTACCAGCTTGTAAAACCAAGCAGCATAATGGACTGTTTTTGAAGCTAAAATAACCGGACGTTCAAGTTAAAAATGACCGCGCCCGCTTATGATTTAAACATAAAGTGGAAGTAATGTATCATATTACTACAGGGCGCTCAGGAATGCTTACTTCTGATTGGTCAGTTGCGCCATTCAGCGGCCTGAAATGTCCTAATATATAATAATGAACCCGACGCTACCTTCAGGACTTATCAGTCCGCGGACTCGCGCGCTCTTGTTTCATACAAACGCAACTGGCGTCATCTTGCGTAGTGAACTGTAGTGAAATTGACCTTAGAGGATGTATGTATTAATATTACGGTCATATTGTAGCTGTGTTCGTCTTGTTTCTAGGCTGATTGTTGTGTAATGGATAATATTTTTTTTCTATCGGAAGCATCAAGATATAAGCCTATGTACAATTAAGATTATAAAATTACACACACACACACACACACACACACACACACATATATATATATATATATATATATGCATATATAGTGTTATTATTTTTCTGCTACTTTACCCCAGTTTTGGAAACAAAAGCAGCAACCCAACCCCCCTTTTGCAGCAGTCAAAACTGGTGTTGATCTTTACATCTTGTCCTCCCACTCCAATAAGTCCTCTGCCGCCTGGAGCAACTTCGGCTTTTTTAGCTCCACCCCCTCGTTACCCCCGCCTTATCTCGCAGGGCCTGGGGCTTTGACATCCTGTTCTCTCTCACAATCTACAGACTCAAAGGGCACATCAAATCAGCTACCATTTGTCACGTGGAAGACAGAACAAAGAAAATCCTAATTTTTCTTTCTTCAGCACCAAAATCATATTTAAAAAGGAGAGGGGTAAGAGAAAAATTAGTCTTTCTGTATGATTGGGTTTTGGAATGGAAGGAGCTGGAGGCAAGAGAATAAGCCCTGAACTAACTTTTACAAATTAAGTTATTACAAAAAGACTCTGGAAAATCTAATTACCAAAAGTATTTAAATTATGTACCAAAAGTAGTGTAGACAAAATGCAACGCATCAAAAATGTTGAAAGTTGTTTCAGGTGAGAAGGTGAGATGTTTGACGTAGCAAGTCACGTCCAGCAGATGGCGCTGTGGTCTAACGAGGAACACGGGCATCATCTGAATACAACTTCCAAAAGGGAATATGTAGATTTATTGATACATTTATGAATGTTGCACAGGTATTACAGCTGACTCTCTTGGCAAAACAGTGGCTCATGCCTTCAAATGTGTAATAGGCTAATTCATCCTACTAGAAATACATATAGCCTACATAAAAAATAAGCGGCTACATAATTTAAATACTATCGTTTAAATTTTAACACTATAATTTAAATACTATTAGTGGTTATGAATTAACAATGTTAATATTAATGTTAATAAAGTCCCACGGACCACTGGGACGAAATGAGTTCGTGTGAATTGTGAAAGTTTTAGATTTAGCTTTAGCTGCTATATTGATTACCAGGAAGCTTTTGTTTCTCTGTCTTCAGGCTGTTTTATTTGACTCGCTTGAATATAAGCTCAACTGTAAGACCAGGGGTAGTAAGTGTTACTCAGATATAGTTTTGTTGGCATGATGCACATCATTGGGATAACCATTACTCCCCTCATCTCTCTGTAAATTAAGGAAATGAAGTGTAGGCGCTCGAGGCAACATTCTAAGCTATTTAAATCTTTAAATTTACATCTTCCTCCAGCGTCAAGTAATTGAACTAACTCCGGGCTTGTTCCTTTAATTGAACAAAAATATATTGTCTTCCTGCTGCTCGTCTGATGTGGGAAACTAATTTCAGCCGAAGGCGATAAAAATTCGGTTGTTAAGTCCAAATAGTTTGCAACACATTCCTGTATACAAACAGATTTGCTTTGCTGTGTTTTCACTCGAGAATGTGGGCTATTATGTAGAAGGTGATAACATTAGCTCGGTGCCAAAAGATTGCTGAAGGTAATTGGAAAAGAAATTTTAAAATTCTAATTTGTGACAAGAAAATTAAAGGGTTCTCTCTTTCCCCTTTGCTTAACTAAAAATGGAACTGAAATGTAGGCTATTGCTATGCTATATAGGCCTAATTATTTATTTATGGAAATCTTAATTCATAATTTGTCCTCTGTTCGTAGTTTGAATTCCCAACAAACTACAACTGCGTTTTAAGGACAGGTCATAATATGTGTTTTTGTAATGTTTCATTTAAATGTACAAATCACGTTAAGCGTCGTTTACGTTTGATATATTAATTTTCGCCATAAACATTCGTTGTATTGACGTCTAAATGTATAGCCTACTGACGTTTGAGAGCATCTCACCCTTTAAATATTTCCAGACCGTTACTAAAACATTCTATTTTAGTTACATTATTTTTCAGCTGGCGTTTTCGTGCTACGTTACCTAAGGGAACGTTTTGGAAATGTTGTAAAAACGTTTTTTATTAGCCGCGTTTAGTTTGGTCACTGGTTGGTTGGCTGCTCACCAGATGTCAAGGTACAGAACATTTTAAGGAGAATGGGAACAATATTACAGTGGTCTAAACTGTCAAGTATCCTTTTTGTAAAAATGGTTTCAGCACAATGAGACTGTCTTCCACCTGAAAGCTGTGTGCCATCAAGACAGACATCTCTATCTAGCCGCGTGCAAACAATTGAAATGGCGCGTTTGGCTCGAGGCGGTTGTGTGGGCGCCTTTTGCAGAGGCACAATGCATATCGATATATGTCATTTAGTTTTCATGGCCAGCAGAACATTATTAGAAAGCTGAGAGAAACATATTAAACCAAATTAAGAAGATAAATTATGTTAAGCCTGTAAGAAATGTCTGATAAAGAAACATAAATCAAAAAGACTGGGGAAAAAAATAACAGAATTCATAAATCATAATACAGTGTAAGCCTATGTAATGCCGTTTAAAACAAAAGATTGTTTCTCTTTTGCTCGCTGAAGGTTAATCAAAGACATGCACACAGGTAACCTAAACCGTTATCCTCGCGCATGCACATATCTTTGTTCAGACGCGGCAAGTAGATGCATAAATGACGATCAATGCGATCAAAACACATATATACGCATACTTCCAAAATGTGAATAGCAAGATCAAATGTTGTTCTTGTAACTCGCCCCAGCTCAGGCAGGGTTGAGCTAATTGTAGCCTAATCCTGCCCCGGGGCGTTTGGAGAGCCTTGAGCAAGAATTCTTGTTCAGCTGTCCTCTGTTATTCGGGCTGGAACGCTGTGCCTTCAACGCACTCTCACGCTTCAACAAAAAAGGAGCAAGAAAGAAAAAAAGCGAGGCTAAGACACGCCACGATCGATCTCATGTTTTAAAGAGGGCTGAAGATACATTTACAGCTATGTCTTCCAAGGTAAGGACGCAGCCTCGACTGACTCCTGTGTAGCTTTTGTAGAAAGTGTCTATAGCAGTCTACGGGCTGTGTTTTAAGCGAGTTTTTAAAGCCACAGCGACCTATATAGCGCTGCGTTTGCACCGGCGTTAGATTTCGCTGGATTCTGAACGGAATTGTCGCCGGATTCTGTACGAAGAGCTCTTGGAGTGCCGAGAAAATATTACGAGAAAGTTCTTTCTAAAGGACGAGCAACCTTCACCAGAGACAGTCTGCTAGAATCCTCCTCAGATTGCGTCGGACGTCCTAAAATGTTTGAAACGGTACGGTGGATTCTGTCAAATTCTCGAATGTTTCTCAAGTGCATCGTTGCGTTCGTTCTCAGTGTGTCGTGCTTTTGCAGTTTTAGATCAGGGAGGGCTGATTTGAGTAGGCTATACAATGAGAGGTCAGCGCACTACTGTATGCCCATTGCGTACAGGAAGTGCGGTACAGAGAGTTGTAGGGCTATTTTACGCACTCCGGGGACCTGGCGCAGTTTTTGACATCACAAACTATTATTTCTGACTTTGATAATATCCCATTTTTCACTCACACTCTTAACGTTTGCTTCCGACCTAGTGTGTGTAGGCTGTATATGAAGAGTTCAGATGCAAAAAGCCTCTTAAGTGCCGTTTGAAATTTTTATCAGGCTCCTATATTTATGTTCAGTTATTTCACTTTAATTGCACAGGAAAGGACATGCCATTAGAGTAAAATGACTAAACCTAAACATAGGACCTTGATAAAAATGCTAATTTTAGATGACAATTTCAGATTCTGTCAGACTGATTCTAAGTTATGATTCTTTTTGAGTGATTCCTTGAAAGAACCGGCTCATAAGAGTCAATTGTTCGTTGTGGGAATATGCTGGTATAGTTGAATGTTTGCTTTTCGGATTTTACAAAAAATGTTTTTTTATTTTTTATTTATTTATTTTATTGCATAACAAGAACAATAACAACATACATATACAGAGGATCACGATGTATTCAACTATTATCTATTACATTCATAATAGCATCAAAGGAAACAACAGAAAGAGAAAAAAAAAGAGAAAAAAAAAAAAATATATATACAGGGGAAAAAACGTACAAAAAGTTCCAAAAAGAAAAGGATAAAAAAATTCTATACATCCGTTTCGCTTTTTTATTTCTTGCATCTTTTAGGGCCTCAATATAATGCTTAAGTTCAATTTTAAATAATATAATGTTAGGTTTATTATTATTCCATTTCTGTTTGTGTATATGGTATTTTCCATATATAATTATTAAGTTAATCACCACATTTTGCTCCAAAATCTTATTTTTATGTAACAAAAATATATCTTTACCAGATAGTCGAATCTTTAATTTTGTGAATTTGAATATTAGATAATCAATGTCAATCCAAAACGATTGGGTAAATACACATTTAAAAAAAAATGTTTTATGGATTCAAATATTTTATTTGTATTTATTTTTTTACAAGAAATGTAGGCTATGATTCATTGACATTATTTCGCGGTACTCACTGTTTTAATTTCATCAAATGCAGTTCAGACGAATTAACACTCACAAACTCCAGTAACATTTTTTTTTTTTAGCCGTGGCTCTGTAGATTCACTGACTGATTTTTTAATATTGTGAAAAGTGGGGCAGTTCTACCCAGGCCAGAAATCCTGTGTGTGTGTGTGTGTGTGTGTGTATACTCCTCATAATATTTCAGTTGTTTGTCTTTTATAAGAAATAACATTTTAAAACTTTACTATAGTAGCCTACTATAGCTGACCAATTTCATTTTTGAGATTTAATTTTAAATCTAAGGCTAAACACAAGATACATCATCCTATACAGGACTATGTTAGTCTCTGATGTACACCATGGGCACACATTGCTCCAGGCATAGTGCCTCTGGAAATGGGACTTTAGCCATCTGTTTAGGTGGAATTGTTCGTTACTCCAAACAAAGGTCGATTCATGCCACAGTAGCAGTCAAGCATCATGGTCCCTATGCTTTTAATGTAGGGCTGTAATTACTCAGGAGAGGACAATGACTTCAGATATCTTAATGTTGCATGATTTAGAACCTTTTGCACTAACTGAAACTTTATTATGACGCAGCATCATTTAGATTTTTATATTTGACCTTGTGGGAGTTCAAGTCTTATTTACCCTCATTTTTGGCTTCAATTCAAAATGTTGATTCATTTGCTCTCAGAAACTTTTAAAGAACTGAGAAGCTGTTTGTGAAGAGGTGTTTTGCGTCTCACAATATCTTTAATTAGGCGTCTACAGTTTTTCCCTCTCTTTCCCTGGAGGTAGACACCTACAGTACTAGGATCCATCCCTCTCTCTCTCGCTCTCCTTCTCTCCCTCTCTCCCTTTCGTGCTCGCTAATAAGCATCACTCCATTTCTCCCCTCCGGTTCTATGAAAAAAGGAAGAAAAAAAAACGGCAGGCAAATTTTCTTAATTAGACTCGTGGTGCTAATTCTTAAGGTAAAAACGCAATTTAAGGGAAGATGTAAAAGTGATCTCCCGCGTGCTTGCAGGCCAGAATCGCACCTTAGGTCTCGGAGATTGAAGGGGAGAGGGGAACCAGGAGCTGTTTATTTGATACTGTGCTGTTTGTGCAGGAGGGAAGGAGCATGTCTCGGCTGTCTTTGACCCGGTCCCCAGTGTCTCCTCTGGCCACTCAGGGAATCCCACTGCCGGCTCAGCTGACTAAAGTGAACGCTCCAGTCCACATTGATGTAGGCGGGCACATGTACACTAGCAGTCTGGCCACCCTCACCAAATACCCAGACTCCAGGTAAGACCTGTTGTGATTTGATGCTAACCATTTGTTGGGGGGTTACTGGGACTGATGTTGACTTAAACTATGTGTCATTGTCATGTTGAGCTGTCGTGAGAAGTTATGTTGTAGTTCTGTGGTCCAACTTCATTTTTGCCTTTGTAACAACCTAAATTTCCTCAATTTAGCAATGCATTTATTTATAGATCGAGTGATAGATTAAAATGCTCTACTTTTAAATGACTTAAAAGCCACTTGCAGAGTCATGCAATTCCTACCTGCTGCATCCATCCCAACCGTAATCTACGGAGGTTTGCGGATAAAGGGAGGTAAAGGTACACCACCTGTTAGAGATGTTTGTGTGTGTGTGTGCAAGACGGGAAAAGAGTGTGAGAGCTTTGCCACATCTGTTCAGGTTAACAGAGAGCGTGGCTCGCTCTGATTTATTAATGGATATGGAGCGAGAGAGCAATGGGAAGGAGGGAGGAGAGGAAAATGGAGGGAGGGAGAAAAGCAGGCAGCATTTTAATTGCTTTTTGGAGGGAAAAAAAAAAGAGAGGCTGAGATGAAAAACTAAGATTGCCTAAAGCTATATGGTGAAATTCTAACTGGGGGAACGGCAAGACCATATGAGAAAAGGACCACCCGAGGCACAAAAGGGGGAATTGGTTTTCTTATTAAGTGTTTTGCATCGGTTTCCAGAATGAGGGAGAGAAAGAAAGAACGGAAGAATGAAATAGGATGAGAGAATGAAATAAGAACATTTTGCAAAGATAAAGTCGATTCATCCGAAGAACAGAAATAGTGTACGACATAATTCCATACGCTTGACCCCATTCCAGCAGTTAAATCAGGTTAAATAATCAACTTGTACATTTGCTGTTCAACTTATTCCAAATGTGAAATGTGAAGTGAAAGCAGTTTTTTTAGGGAATATCTTTTACATGATAAGAGCAAAACCATTCTTAATGTAGTGTAGTGCTTGCATAAAACTTTAAAACAAAATACTTCTTTAAATTGAAAATCATTGATTTACATTTTTTCCCTCCAGAATCAGTCGCCTGTTCAACGGCACAGAACCGATTGTTTTGGACAGTCTGAAGCAGCATTATTTTATCGACAGAGATGGAGAGATATTCCGCTATATCCTGAGCTACCTGAGAACCAGCAAACTGCTTCTTCCTGACGACTTCAAGGTAACGTTCACACACCCAGTGTCTCTTCAGCAGGTCAAAACTTTGATTTAGTTCCTCTTTTAGCATCACGTCAATAGCCTTGAGCTGAAACACGCTGAAAGGACCCAGACAGAACTGCAGGCAGTTTTATTGGATTTCCATGTGTTTGGAATTATCTTAAGCTTTATGTCTCAGATATTCCTGGATGCTTGTTGAATACTACGGTTATCAGTTTCCAAGGTTTATCATGTGCCTTTCCACCATTTTGAACAGATTTATGTATGCATTTTTTGGGACATTGTATGCAAAGTTTCTGCAGTCTTCACTAAAACTGCCTCAGATCATCTTGAGATGAAGCTTCACAAACCTGAGCAATTGGATTTTTGTTGTATGACATTTTTCCTTAACCTTTTTTGCTGGCAAAGATGGCAGGCAGGAAGTGAGACATCTTGACATATTGATAAAAAAAACTTTCCACATTGGCGAAGTACATTTATAGTAGGGCTGCACGATAAATCGCATAGCTAAATAAAATAAATAGCAATACAAATTTATCGCAAAATAAAATAAAAATAGAATAGGAAAAAGTCTAAGGAAATTCAGACTCAAAATAGTGCGAAGTACAATTTCTGATTTCAAATATACTTTCTTGGTCTCTTGGTCTTGGTCATTTCTTTGCATATTGGTAGAAAACTTTCCAACTTGGCCTGCGAATGCCAAGCATATTTATAGCAAAACAAAATAAAGTAACATAAAAATAAAAACTCAATTCTAAGGTTTACATTCGCAAACATTTATAGCAAAATAAGATAAAAAAATAAAATAAAAAACTGAATAAAAAGAACCCTAAAGTCTAAGGTGAACTTTAAAGCTTGACTCAAAATAGTGTGAAATTCAAATTCTGTTTTACAAAATGTTCTAACTTGGTCTGAGAATGCCAAGCACATTTACAGCAAAAAAAAAATAAATAAAAATAAATAAATAAAATAAACCCTTAAGTTTAACGTTTAAATTCACAAGCATTTATAGCAAAATGAAATAAAATAATAAATAATAAAATAAAAAACAGAATAAGAAAGAACCCTAAAGTCTAAGGTGAAGTTTAAAGTTGGACTCAAAATAGTGTGAAATGCAATTTCTGACTTCAAGCACACATAGCTACGAGTCTTTTCTTCAATGCCAGCAGATAAATTGGTGAAGTATTATGCCCGTCTCAGTCAAAAATCAGATGGGGAAAGGTATTTGTGTCAATGGGATTAATTAGAGTGAGACTAGTCATTTGCGCCTCAGGCTTGTGGCTAGCTTTCCTCCACTGCGCGAGACCGTTTGATAACAGAACATAAAATATGTAACTGCACAGAGGCACATCATTACATCCCATTATACTTAACTTTTCACTCTTTTTGCCTTTCAAAACTCACCATGCCTTGACCTGCGAGAGCGGGAAAACTCGACTACTATATGGTCGCTGTTCAGCCACGGTTGGGTTTAAGGCCTATAGACCTTTCTTTTTCATCCAGAACCTAAAGAACCACTGAATCGTTTCAGATGAAGCTGTACATAAGCGAATGATGCATGTTGTCAGATGGAGCAGCCCCTCCTGTGAGAGGTTATGGGATACGTTTGGTCTCCTCCCAGATGTGTGTTACGTCTGTGAATTCATTAGACTCCACTTATTGGCTTAATTGACAACATTTTGTTCTTCTAAAAGAGTTTGCACTTGAAAACCGTGCAGCGCATCCAGCTTCATTTGTCCATATGGATATGGCCTAAAGACTAAATTCGCTCTTCTGTGGGCCTTTGCTTTTACATTCTCTTTCTCCAAAAGTGAGTCACAGAAGGAGCCTTGTTAAAACATACCCAGCCTTCGCTGCAGACCTGGGAAAGAAGCGCAGCTTGTTTTTCGTTGAATTAGCAAGAGCCCGAAGGCCTAAAGTCTCTGTATCCATGTTGTCAGCACCAGTATGGGCTAAAGCAAGGAACATAGGGAATAAAGAGGGAGAGAAAGAAGAGAGGCTGGGGGAGGGGTGTGGGTAAGAAAACAACTCCTTTTCTTGTGGTAATTGTAAAAGAGTGTTGTGTCTGAGATGGTCGGTGCTATTGTTCTCCGTGGCGTAGCCTGCAGTGGAATGAGTAGTCTTACAGGGTGGGGATGAAGAGCCAGCAGGGTCGAGATCACAGCTCTCTCTCACGGCCACCAGGCGCAGAACCCAAGAATGCTGTCAGAATTTTGAGCAGAAATGGCTTTCAGGTCTCGTGTTTGGGCTCTGAGAGACCCCAAGGCCCTTTTAATATCTCGGAAAACATTAACATTGAAGTATCAGGTTAACGCTTCATGACTTTTCCTAATCTAATGAGAACTGGCAAAATTTGAACTTGATAACATTCATCAAACATCCTGCATGAAAAAATGTACCTCACTGTTTGGGGTCTCAAGAGCCCAGGTATATTTCACGCAATTTGAAAGATTTTCTGAATTTTTTTCCCCCCTTGAAAATGTTTGCTTTAATAATATCAAACTATATACAAATATGAATATTATATAAGAAGCTTTCATTGTATTGGTCTTTAAATAGGTCAAAGGAACTAATTAAAAGAGTTTATGTATTATTTGTATATATAATCTCTAATCTCTTGTATATGAAATCTAAAAGTTTTTTTAAATAATGTATTATATATTATGATTTTTTTGTGTGTTTTGTCATATTTAATAGTTAAAAAACAATTTTTTTTTATTCATTTTTAGTTTTAGTTATTTTAGTACCTCAAGATAAACTAAACAAAAATGAGAAACATTACCTTGGCAACTAACTGTAATTGTTTATATTTTATTTTGTTTCAAGGAACAGAAATGTTTTTTATGGTTTTAGTTTCACTTTATTTAATAATATAGTTAGATTGAATTCAGGTAAAGTGGGACATATTTTGGCATTGATATGACTGGGAAAAATGTCCAAGTTTAATTAACCCTATATATAGCCTATAATTTGTATTATTATTTTAAAATTGAAAAACAAAGCAAGTATCAACAGAACATGAGGGTTTCATATTTAGATTTTTTTCTTGTGAAGATAAGAAAAGCTTGAATTGCTAAATAAAATCCGTGTTCATGCAGTATTACACAAGTGGTAACACCGCTAACTTTGGTTTATCATTAATTTTCCTCGATATATGCCTATACCACCATGTTTACATGGAAAAATGGAAATATTTTCATTTTTGCAGTGTTTGTAATGGCAGGACTGAGGCATGTTGCCATCTGGCTTAGAGAATGAAAGGCCAGTGTAAGTGGGGTAAATGTGCTGGAGGGTGAAGGACGCCTCAGGCAGAGGCAGCAATCTGTGCTGTCCGACCAGAGAGTCTGTGAGTGAGGGGAGAGCTGGGGGGGCTCTTAACCCCCCCCACCCCTCGCCCTGTCCTGGCTAAAGACGGGTCAGATGGGCACAATCGCTCCATGTGTTGGTCTGGGTTCATGCTCAATGCTAAACAACGTGCTTTGAAACATGCAACATTCAATCATCCTGTGGTATTGAATTTCTTCTGTAATTTTCTGATATTATAAGTCCATCATGTCTTTTCTAGTGGAGAATTTAAATCTAAAAATATCTTTATAGTGATGGAGTAGCAATCACTATAAATATCTTTATAGTGATGGAAAATAACTCTAGTCAATTTTTTGTTTGTTTCTATTTGTTCTCTTGGTGGTTTGCTCGCTCGGTAATTTCTTTGGTTAATGGGATGTTTGTGCATTTGTTTATTTGTAAGGCCATTCGTTTGCTCACTTGATGGTTTGTTTGCTTGCTCATTCGTTCACTCACTTGGTGGTGTTTGCTCACTTGTTTGCTCACTTGGTGGTTTGTTTGCTCATTTGTTCACTTACTTTGTGGATGGTTTGTTTGCTCATTCGTTCTCTCACTTTGTGGTTTGTTCATTTGCTCATCCATTTACTCACTTAGTGGTTTGCTTGCTCATTCGTTCTCTCATTTGGTGGTGTTTGCTCATTCGTTCTCTCACTTGGTGGTTTGTTTGTTTGCTCATTCATTTGCTTACTTGGTGGTTTGTTTATGTCCTTGGGACATTTGCTCAGTGTGTTGTTTTTCAGTAATTTGTTTGTTTGTTTGAGCATTTTTGGTCTGCTTTTTCATTCATTCACTCAATAGCTGGTAAATTTTCTCTGTTTGTTCAGTCATTACTTTGTACATTTGTGTTTTCTTATTTGTTCACCCATTTGTTTGTTCATTTGCTCAGCGAGTTGTTGTCTTGTTAGCTCATTCATTCATGTGTTTGTACTTTTTTTTTGTCCGCTCATTCAATCATTTGCTGGATGGATTATTTGTTTGTTTCTTTGTTTCTTTCCGTGCATACATTCACTTCCATGTGTTGTTCCCGCAGGAGTTCCAGCTGCTGTACGAGGAGGCTCGGTATTACCAGCTGACGCCCATGGTGAAAGAGCTGGAGCGCTGGAAACAGGACCGGGAGCAGCGGCGGGCGGCTCAGCCCTGCGAGTGCCTGGTGGTGCGGGTGACCCCTGACCTGGGCGAGAGGATTGCCATCAGTGGGGACAAGGCCCTCATAGAGGAAATTTTCCCAGAGACAGGGGACGTCATGTGCAATTCAGTCAACGCCGGCTGGAACCAGGATCCAACCCACGTTATTCGCTTTCCACTGAATGGCTACTGCAGGCTCAACTCTGTGCAGGTACAGCATTGTCATTGAGTAATACTAAAACAGTATTTGATGGTCATCACTGAGTTCAAAAGTTGGGGGTCAGTTAGGGCTGCACAATTAATCGAATTTCTAATCGCAATTACAATTCCGGATGCCACAATTACATAATCGTTCAAAGCAGCAATCTACTTTTTTTACACACGCCTAATTGACTTACTGTATAACTAATTAGTGTGTCTGATAACACTTATTTTTTTGCAGACTTAACTGACTGAATCATGCTGTGGATTTTTTTTTTGTTAAGTGCGTCTTTGTCACACATCTCGGGTGTTCACGAAAACCCATTTGAAAAAGTGCTCCAACATTTCTGCGCCTGAAGCGTTTTAAACACACATGCTACATTTTTAATACTGTACTTTGGTTTCTTTGAACAACCTAAACTGGTTTACGCTACTTTTTTTACACACGCCTAATTGACTTACTGTATAACTAATTCGTGTGTCTGATAACACTTATTTTTTTGCAGACTTAACTGACTGAATCATGCGGTGGATTTTTTTTTTGTTAAGTGCGTCTTTGTCACACATCTCGGGTGTTCACGAAAACCCACCTATGAAATATGAGAAGATAGATCAGAGAGGAATGACAGAGGACGAGAGATATGGAAAAAGACAGAGAGAGCCAGTTTGTTGCCAAGAAATTGTAGCCGTTTACTGTAAGAAAGTTAGTAAGTGATGCAACCATCAGTGCAGTGAGTGTAATGTCAAAATCATAAGCCTTCAGATATCGATGCCTGAATACTTGAGACACTCTATATATGTTCATTGCATATTTAGTAAGAGCTCTAGTTATGGTTGTAGTTTATTAAATGAATGGATTAAATACAAATTAAAGGTATATTTCATCCAGATTTTACTATGTGTAGGGCTGGGCAAAAAAATAGATTTTTCGATTAATTGTTTTTTTAAATGACGTCGATTCGATATCGATTCTCAAAAGCCGCAAATCGATCTTTTCTGGTATTTATTTCAGCACACATTTAAAATAAGATCTGATTAACGTGAATCTTATCATTAGTCTTCTCCACTAACGTTAGATGTCACCCTTATTTACCTTGCGCGATGTTACAACAGAAAGCCTGTCATTCATTCAGCCCAAAAAAATAAAAGGGTTTCATTTTCATTTGATTAGGATAAATTAAATGAATGTTTTATGCCTTCATCTGATTACCAGAAAAATTAAGAACATTTTATAGGGTCCTTTTTTAAACAATAATAGGGCCCTATAAAATGTTCTTAATTTTTCTTTAAAAAAAAAAGAATAGGTTTAAAATACAGGCATGTGGTTCTTAATTTCTTTTTATTAATTCACCATTTGTAAACTGATGTTTACTGTTCATTTTTTAGAAATATCAATAGCATTTTGTATTAAAACTATATTCGCTGAACGTAATCAAAAAATCTATAATTGAATCGAATCGAGAGCTTGCGAATCGAAATCGAATCGAAACATCTGAATCGATACCCAGCCCTAATGTGGAATACAAAAAGAAGATGATACTGTTTTTGATCATACAATGAAAGTCAATGGACACTAAACTCATTAAATGATCAGCAAACACTGAGGCATTTTTCAAAATCATCTTTTCTTCATGAGGGTGAGTAAATCATGATACAGATTTTCATTTTTCGGTGGACAAATTTAAGACAAATTGTCGAAATCCACTGGAAAAAGTTTGAAAATTGCACAAAAATAAGGAACTTCAAAGTCAAACGATTTGTGTATTAAAACTCGCTTCTGTAACACTGATGCAACCGAAACCTTACACGAGCCTTAATGTTGATATATGTTCTTGAAAAGATGCTTCAAAACGCAATCTTTCTTTGTGCACGGTAGGCCCTTGAATCATCATCTTATGTCTTTCATACCTCATCTGTGCGCAAGTCGTAAGAAGCGTTCATTTCCTCTACAAGTTTCTCCGCAGCCTCAACTTCCAAAGTGAGGATAAGGGTGGACATTTTTTCTCAGGCCCTGTGCATTTCAACTGATTTCTTCTTCTTTTTTTTTTTTTTTTGTGGAGGGACTTTTATCTGGCTCTGTAGCCCCGAGCCAGAACTTTCATTTTCATGTGAAGCACACTTGAAAGAAGTGCAGGAGTAAGTGAATACTCAAGGCTGCATGTATTGAATTTCAAAAAAATCTACAAGCACTCCAACAGATAAAACATTTCGTTGGCTTTTTGCGGCGGCGGGAATGACAGCGACAGCGGCCGCCCAGAGACGGCTGACGGTGAGGGATCTCTGACAGTAGCCGAGATTGTGTGCATTGGGTTTGTAATGAAAGAGCCGGGCGGCTTCAGTGTGGGCTGTCAGTGGGGGAGCCTATTCTCATTTGACTCTGCATCAAACCCCTGTAAACAGCCCAGGGGATGTCTCGCTCCTTCTCATCCCGGGTGGATGGTCTGGAGTGAGAAACGTCTGAGGGTAATGCAAGCGTGAAGTTGTTGATAGCACTGTTACTGAGATTGCACATTTTAAATGCGTCTTGATGCAACTATGTGAAGTGCTGATAGAGTGGCATAAATAGGAGTTTACTTCCAAAAAACTCATACCGAGTTTCTCATATCCAACGGAGAACTTGAACTTGAAATTTCTGCTAGGTCCTAGAGAGACTGTTGCAGGAGTCGTCTAAATGCAGTTATCTGAAGTGCTGATGGAGTAGCATGAACGGGAGTTTATTTTATGGAAACTAAAATCTCTGAATAAAACTCCACTGGTTTCTATTAGGTCTTGGAGAAATGGTGCCAGAAAGGGTTGCCATCTTGATGCAATTATGTGAAGCATAAATTGTTTACTCCAAAAACTTATACCGAGTTTCTCAAATTGAACAAAGAACTTCTCAAGATACTAACAGAGGAGCTCCGGAAAGTTTCAACATAGCATTTGTCTTGATGCAACTATATGAAGCACTGATAGAGAGGCATAAATAGAGTTTGCTTTGGAAAACTTCATCTCAGAATATTGATAATTCTCCCTGGTTTCTTCTAGGTCCTGTAGAGACTGTTGCAGATGGGTTCGGTCTGGTGCCGTCTTGATACATTTATGAGAAGTGCCGATACCTTTGCATGAATAGGAGATTACTTTGTTAAATTCATGGAAAACATCTCAAAACACTAAAAAACTCCACTGGTTTCTCTTAGGTCCTGGAGAGACAGTTCCAGAATTGGTTGCTATCTTGATGCAATTATGCAAAGAGTAGCATAAATTATTTACTCCAAAACTCTAAAGTTTCTCAGATTTAACAAAGAACTTCTCTAAATAATAAAAATGCCCCTTGTTTTTCCCTGAGTCCTGGAGCAACAGTTCCAGAAAGTTTCAAAATGGAATTTGTCTTGATGCAACTATGAAGCTCTGATAGAGTGGCGAATTTCCCATATTCAATGGAGCTGAAAATACTGAGAAAAATTCCCTTGGTTTCTCTTAGGTCCTAGAGACTGTTGCAGAAGGTTTCGTCTTGATGCAATTATGTGAAGCGCTGATATGAGGAGCACAGGAGTTTATTTTATGGAAAGCATAATCTCAAAGTACTAAAAAAAACACTGGTTCCAATCTAGGTCCTGTAGAGACTGATTGCAAATGGTTTCAGCCATCTTGATACATTTATGTGAAGTGATGATACCATTTATTTATTTTATGGGAAACTTCATCTCAAAATCCTACAAAATACCACTGGTTTAGTTTAGATCCTGAAGAGACCTTTTCTAAGGGTTCAGCATTGCATCAATGATTTGTTTATAGAAGAGCATACATTTTCAAAACTCACTGTCCCTGGTTTTTCCTTGGTCCTGTAGGGTTCGGTATGGTGGTGTCTTGTCGCATTTAGGTGTAGTACTGATACAGAGGTTCTCATATTGTTTGGAAAACTTCTCAAAATACTAAAAAATGGCCCTGTAGTCTCCTAGTCTAACTCCTGTTGGTCTATAAATTCAACTATATGAAGTACAGAGTTTCTCATATTATAACAATATACTAATAATGTCCCTGGTTTCTCCTAGGTTCTGGAGAGACTGTTCCAGAAAGGCTTCAGCATGGTGGCCTCGTGCGGCGGGGGTGTGGACTCCTCCCAGTTCAGTGAATACATCTTGAGTCGGGAAGACAGACGGTGTCAGACCAGCCACACGCCCATCAGGATAAAACAGGAGCCTCTGGACTAGCCAGCTCTTGTGCCAACCATGAACACCTGAGTCTGCTTTTGAAAAAAATAAAAATAAAATGCCAGCGGACAAATAGAAGACTTAATTTGCAAGAAGAGTTTGCTTCAACTCTTTGGACTTGGACTGAAATCTTATTAAATGTATTTAATCAACGACCCCAAATCTGCTCCAAAAAATGCTTTACAAACCCAAGCAAGCCACAGGATGGCTTTTCATCTGCTGACCTCCAGTTGAACTTTTTAGCCGTTTCTTTGGCTTGAGTCATGAAAAAAGCATTCATAGATCTATATTTCCACAGTACATATCCATATAAGTTCGCCATTGTATGTGCATAAAAGAGCAAAAAGAGGAACTCTACAAGGAAGTTGCGTTCATGGCGAGCGCACCTTCTGGCTAGAACACTTTCAAATGATGCAGCAGTCTGATCTCCAAGCTCCCGGGCGAAATTAACCACAAAATACAAAGTCTGTCCTCTCATCCATTTTTAATCTAGATATCTAATGTTCTCATTTTCCAGTCTCATCTATGTAAATCAGTTCTTTTATGACCTACAGGTTTATTGCTGTTGTCTCACTACATGAAGGATACGAGAGCAGTTCTCAGAAGTCATTTGGTTGTAAGTGCGGTCTGGATTCGGCCACATAGACGCTTTTACTTGAGGCAACGTGGCGGCTAAAGCAGACGGTCTGGTAATGCATTCAGCGCTGGGCAGAGAGGCTTTTTGTTTGAGCATGTCTAAAGGGAAACCTGGACTCATGTGGGAGAGCTTTTCTGATGGCATCACTAAATCCTCTACTTTTTTTTCTTGGGTGCCCGTTTTCTTCAAAACTAGCCCTGAACTAGTCGCTAGTTCATTATACATAATTGCTTTGAGTAAACGGTTAAAAAGTAAAGATCTTTTGTAGATACAGTGTCCAAAACAACATCTTGTTTAATGAAGGCACCTTTTGAAAAAATTAGATTAGTCAGATTGTTAATGAATGCAGCACTTTCAGGGGGCGATACTCAGACCGATTGAGAAGAGGGGAATTACTGTGCCCCTCAAGGCCTGGAGACGGAGGGGCTACGGGTCAGACTTCTCTCCAGGAGTTAAGGTCACTTTCTCACAATCCCTTTCACTCACTCTCCCTTAGCAAAACAGAGCCACTCAGAGAGAGACTGAGGGAGAATAAATTTGAAAGGTTAACTTGGTGGCTGGTAAACAGACTGAATTGCATAATGTGTTGTAAAAAGGCACATCTAATAGGAGTTCTTTGCCTTGCAATTTCAAACGGAAGGGTCACTGAAATGTCACAGATATGTTGTTATGCTAAGTGTTGTCTTAACTGGCCAGCGTTTCTTTTCAGATTTTCTTGATTTGTTGTACATAAAGGCTCACGGACGCTTTGCAGGCCCCCCTGAATGCAACTTATCATCTCGCTGCTGCGCAACTGCCATTTGGTTTTCGATTTCAAGGACGAGAACATTAAAAAGACGATTATCGGAGAAGCTGCGTCGGACGTTACATAAATCTTAGTTTAAATACTGCTCTAATGGATGTTGTGTCAAGATGTATATTGCAGTATGGTCCAAATGTATATTATTTAAATAAAACATTTTTTGTAATGGATTATTATTGATATGAATCATAGTGGTATGTCAGGCATGTGTTTATTTGAATTGTAACATTCTTTTTGTAATCGGTGTTGACAAACAAACTTTTAATAAATTGGTGGAGTTCTTTCCCTATTTTAAACCACTGGCAGCATGCATGTGAATGTGTCGGAAAAACTTGATATACAAATGACAATGAACATAGTCAGGGGTAGTCAAAAACCTCACTATGAAATGGAAGATCTTTTAGTATTGTGATATACATTCGAGTGAATCTTCAGAAGAGAAAAAAAGTATTGAGGGGACTTGGATCTATCAGTTAGTTGTTGTTTGGATGGAGGCAGATCTGAATGTGAACTTGCAGTCTATTGTAAGAAAGGGGCGGAGTTTCAGCAGACTAAATGATTGGAGAAGTATGGCACATATCAGCAGAGAGAAGTCTGTTGATTAAAATTTCGTTCACCCAAAAGTGAATATTCTGTCATTAATTACTCAGCCTCATGTCATTCCAAACCCGTAAGACCTTCCTTCATCTTCGGAACACAAATTAAGATATTTCTGATGAGTCAGAAAGCTCTTGGATTTCATCAAAAATATCTTAATTTGTGTTCCGAAGATAAACGAAGGTCTTGCGGGTTTGGAACGACATGAGGGTGGGTAATTAATAACAATTTTCATTTTGGGGTGAACTATCCGTTTAAACATAAGATTGACATTTTGATTAAAAATGCCAAATTTTTGAATTACACATGGATGAATAGTTCCCAATAAGATCAATAACAGCATTAATTTTCTGAACAAAATGTTCAACTACAAAAAAAAGTAGGGCAGGACGTTTTTAATCAGAAATGGACTGAATCATGAAATGTGGGTGGTAAACACCAGAATACAGCCTCACCTGATTGAGTTTTCACTCAGCTGTGAACAGGAAAAAAATGTCCCAGAAATCAGCCCACATTTATTTGATCCTTTACTTTCTGGTTATGTTGTTGACAAGTTTGACACATTAAATGTAAAACAACATTAAAGAAAGTCTTGGCAGAATTATAATTAGGAACTTTATTATTTTACAAAAGTACAAATTTAATAGAGATGAGCACTTTTTTCCAAACCAACCAAACATTCAAAAATTGTTAAATTTAGCAAAAATAGAAATTCTAATATATATGTTTTTTAGACAAAAGACAATCCCTCGATCAACAATACTGTTTGTCTAAACGCCAGCACAAACAATACGAATTAAAACCAATCTGAGAGATGGAAAAAGATTTTGCCTCAGATCTCAAAGGAATCATTGCACACGACATGAACGCTGACTGTCTCCCAACATACATCTGTACAGCTCCAAAATGTCAATGTTGAACACGTCATTTCTTCTCCTACTGCATGTCATAAAGGGCAATATACAAATATTCAGTACTTGACATAAAATAATGCCCAATGACAGATACCAAATTTATAATGAACTTGATTTCAAACACAAAAGTACATGATCCAAAAAGCGACATTAGTATTTTAAAATCATTACTGCAGTCTGTCAAAGCCACCTCATTTTGAACGTATTTTAAAAAATAGTCAAATGAACAATATGAACAACCTGCCATTTCTCCACAAATAAGTTACGAGAGACCCTGCTCTAGAATCGTTGGTGAAGCGATGCATATTAGTATTAGCATATTAGATAATTCCATGCCGTGGATTTGATTAAAAACAATGGTGCCCCAGGAGGGCCACGTAAGGCACCATTTCACAGTATACTTAATGCAGACACTAGTGAAACCGTACACACCTATAACCCCACACTGAGTGTGCGAGACAAAACTGTCACTGAATTTCAAAAGACCATCCAATAGGATGAAAGACGGTCAGTGTTTTACAACACAGAGTTTCTTCACTTTGCATAAATCAGTAACAAAAGAACCCCAAAACATCCACACGGATCCTCAGAGACTTAAAGATGCGCTACTTATAAGTTACTAAAAATACTCCAGACTCGTTAGACCTCTAAAACCAGGAACTTTGCATTCACATTTCCAGTGTCTCTATTGCAAATGAGGCTTTCGGTTAAAAACAAGTCCAGCCGCTATTTATATAAAACAAATCTCAATCTCTATCCTGAAACGTAAAACCAGTCTGAGTTCAAGTTAATGAATAAAAAGATCAACATTGCTCAAAACGATGGCTCATTAATCCAAAACAAAGGGGACATAAAACCATAAAAGGGTGACTCAAAAGGGAAAAAAAAAAAAAAAATCACATGGTGTCCACAGCCGCCGCCGGTTTTTCCAGAACCTTCTCATCTCCAGAATGCCTACGTTTGGAAGATTTACAGCAACGTGCTCGTTATGACACAAAGAGTACATGCCACAGGTGAGTCTGAAGGCACAGACCGGAGATGAATGCAGAGAAGGAGAGGAAGACTTGAACATATTACTGAGAGTCAAGCAGGTAGAGTACCATTAGCGTGGATGATCTCATCCATCTCACTGGATCAGTGCTACTTCAGAAGGGCCTTGTAGAGCAGCATGGACCTGGCTGTGGTTCGTTCTTGCTCCAAGCAGAAGATCAAGTCCCTGAGGTTGACCCGGGTAATGCGCTGCCGGGTCTGCCGGACTGAGGATGTGGAGGATGAGGTAGAACCGGTCGCTGATCCGGAGGAGCCCACAGGAAACTGAAAGGGAATAAGAAAATAATTGATTAGGTCATTGTCATTGTATATATGTATATAAAATATATATATATCCCTTGTGTTGTGTTCAGAACCCTATCACACTTACGAGGTTACAGAGCAAAAAGGGTACTCCCTCAAAAAATTACTTATAAATCACTCATTATGCTATATTATCACCAAAGATTGGATTCAATCTTTTTGTCAACTTCTTATCTTTCATTTAGGACTGGTTTTGTATTTATATTTGCTTCTGATTAATATATTTTTTTTTTCAGAGCAAAAAGGACCCGAACACCACATGAGGGATATATATGCATGCATATATATAAAACTCTCAAACATTGGATTAATTCACATTATTTTGTGCTTGTGTTTAACTTAAAACAGTAAAAAGGAAGAAAGAAAAAACAACTTATTTTCAAATAATGTATTACGCCAGACTGATTATAATTATAATAATAATTATAATTAGTTACATTTATATAGCGCTTTTCTGGGTACTCAAAGCGCTTTACATGAAAGCGGGGGAATCTCCTCAACCACCACCAGTGTGCAGAATCCACCTGGATGATGCGACGGCAGCCATATTGCGCCAGAACACCCACCACACACCAGCTTACTGGTGGAGAGAAGACAGAGTGATGAAGCCAATCATTATATATGGGGATGATTAGGAAGCCATGATGGTCAGAGGCCAATGTGCAAATTTGGCCAGGATGCCGGGGTTATACCCCTACTCTTTTTCGAAGGACATCCTGGGATTTTTAATGACCACAGAGAGTCAGGACCTCGGTTTAACGCCTCATCCGAAGGACGGTGCTTTTTACAGTATAGTGTCCACATCACTATACTGGGGCGTTAGGACCCACACAGACCATATGGCCTCACTAACACCTCTTCCAACAGCAACCTAGTTTTCCCAGGAAAAGGCTTTCCCAGTGTTTTTTATTATTCAATTTAAAACAGTAGAAAATTATGGAAGCCCGTTTCCGCCACTGAGAAAAAAAAAAAAAAATCAGACACCAGAGAGAGGTCACATCTCTCACATCTGACTTTTTATCTCGAGTTAATCGTTTATCTTTTTCCCCTCAGAACTGGACTTTATAACTCGCAATTGCGAGTTTATATAATGCAATTCTGAGAAAAAAAATTGCCAATCAGAATTGCCAGTTTCTCTTTCACAATTCTCACTTTATTATCCACAATTACGAGTTTATATCTCACAATTGTAATAAAGTCAGAATTGTGAGATAAAAAGTCGCAATTAACTTTTTTTTTTAATTCAGTGGCGTAAACAGGCTTCCACAGAAAATAAATTCAATAAAATAAAAAAATATATGTAACTTTAATTCTCAAAGATTCAATCAGGTGTTTTGTGTTAAATTTAAAATTGTAACGATTTATTATCATTATTATTATTATTATTTTCAAACTTAGAATTAGGTCAGATTTTTTTGAGTAAATTTACAATAGTAAAAAAGCAAATTTTTTGACAAAAAATTGATTGGTTTACATGGTTTTAGTTTTATTTAAAAGTCAAAAATTTAAATCACCCAAAATTAAAGTCTTTGTGCTACTTAAATCTGAGAAAAACCAGCCCAGCCTTGTTTTGATTCCATAATGCGAGCATTTTTGCAATAAAGACCTAGCAGTCGTCAAAGATCCTCAGGTTTTTGTGCTTTTGTGTGTTTGTCAGCACACCTGCACAACATGTGATCATCTGTTCTCAGCTGGAGGCTAGAGAACCACACCTCACGCCCCGGGCAGCAGACTTTTGATCTCAACCACAGTATCTCAAAGCGCTGCACCTTCAGACTCCACTCAACAAATGAGTGCGCAAGAGTGAGATCAAACCGGAAGTCTTATGAAAAACAATAAAGATCATTAAAATAAAATCTACGCTTAGTCAAGACAACGAAACGGAGGGCTTGCGACCAGCCGTCGCCACATTAAGATTATTTACACAGTCCACCTCGAGGGAAAAGCCCTTCCATCTAATTTCCAGGAGGAGGGAGGAAGTTGGCATGTGTATCGTATTCATCAGCCGTACAGGGGGTCTATAGCATGACATCAGTCGGCTGGAATGAGGTTAGGGTCTCCAGCCTTCACTGAATACTAAGTATACGTGAGAAGGTGTAAGACGGCCTCCGGGCACAAAACACACACCACACCCTACAGAAACAACCTGCAGCATTGTGGGATCTATATCACCCTCATACATGCTCTTACACACCCTGAATGATTCCCACCCTCACACACACCCAGGGCTGGCAAAGCTCACGACATGTTTACGCGGGCAGGTCGGTGCGCGGTCTTGTACGTTGTTAATGTTAGGTCATTATTTGAAAATTGTCAGGAGCACTTTAAGGGAAGAATGAAATGCAAAACTGAAAGTAGAGATTAATGCCAAAATTTTCACTCATAGCCACACCCAGAAGAGACCGTTCCAGGAAGTTTAGTACAAGCGATCAAGTGATAGTAAGCCTCTGGTTACATTTTGCACACACTTAAATAAACCTGAAATCAATGCAGAGCACTGGATGCCGTATATGTTTGCGGAGACAACAACATAAGCTAGTGATTTCACATCCGATGCAATGCCACGCAATAGTCAACAAACACTTCTTAAAAACAGACCCGCTGCATTTAGTGATTTCAAATAAATGGGTCAATGACATGATGCACATATTTTGGATATTACAATTTCTTCAAAATGTAATTAATATATGCAATGACTTGAATACACCTTATCTACAATGAACATGTTTTTCCATTCTTAATTAAAATTCAATTGATATTTTTGGTCGAAAAACTATATTAAAAAAAAACATTTGATTAAAGTTAGTTGCCATGGAAACATTTCTAATTTTTGTTTTTAAGTACTAAAATTACTAAAACTGAAATAAAACCAAATACATAAATAAAAACTAAGAATAAAAAAAACAAACAAATAAAATGCATTTAAAAATCTTAAAACTAAAATAAACTGAAAAGTTTAAAAATAAAAGCTAATATTTGATAATTTGATCTTTTTATGACAAGGCAAGTTTAAATCAGATTGTAAAATGTTGTGATGTGACTCCCCAAAATGTATAAATTAAAAATTCATGACATTTACAAAACATACTTTTTATCTTTAAAAAAACTTAAATGAAAAAATAAATAAGATGTATAATTATGTGTACATTCACATGTACTTTTTACACGAAGGTTACACCACATGACATTATGAATCAATAAATTGAAACTAATGAATACAGAGTACATTTCTAAGTTTTTTTATTTTTATTTTGTTTTTTTATTTTTTTTATCATGGACACTTATCACTGACCCATAATAAAATAACAAAAAGCAAAACAGACATTATCAGTAAATGAATTAATTTTTTTAAATAAAAATCCAATATATAACCACCTAAATGCTAGCCTTTAGTAAGAGACAGTTGTACTTGCTCAACTCGACATTGCAGTACAGGAAGACAGCGTTTCACAGTTAGCATGTGTGGGTGAACACGCTCAGGGCATTTTGCCACTATCCTAGTGGTGCGTTAGAGATGGAGCTTGTTAAGCCTGCATAAATGTGTAAAGATATGGATGAATATATTACAGATGTGAGCATTAACGTGCCCCAGGCACTGAGAGAAATGTATTTTTTTAAACCACATTAGCTGTGGAGTGGAATGTGTAGGGTGCACAAGCTATCTTTTCGAGTGTCATTAGGGTTAAAGTGTGTTGTATACCCTTGAGTTGTGTTTGCTTGTGTTCACTGTGTGTAGGACAGCAAACACCTCTAGAGGAACTGACTCCAAACCCTGAAGAGATGAGGCAGCTTGCACTTGTAGGTTTCTGAAAACCATGAATTGAGCAGAACGGCATGAAACGTATCCTTCAACCAGACGTAAAGGTCTTAAAATCTTCAAAACAAGCACAAGCAGCGTTGCTCCAAAGCTACCCTAGAATTGAGAAGCCCTTCAACTCAAAGTGACCAAACCACCACAGAGAAAACCCTCTCCAGACAAAATGAAAGGGAAAAAAACCTTATTACTCCACCTTATTCCTCCAAACGACTGTGAGCACTTCTGGCCTCTAAAGGTTAGAGAGTGCCTGAGGGTGCTGTGTGTCTCCAGTGTTTGGGGAAATGACTCGCCTTGCCTCTGCACGAACACAGCCCAGTCTCTGCAGAACTGCCGCCCGGGGCTACGCAACCCTGCTCTACTTCACTTTAACCCTATACTAGCCAGCTTTTTGATGCCGGCCTTTTACTTTGATCCAGGACCATCTAATCTTGTGCAATTATAAAACTATGAGAGACATGGCTGGGTTTCAAAACAGGCCACTTCAACCACAACGTCTTCATGGTTTTCTCATTCAAGAAGATCCAGAGTTAGGGTCGCATACACTGTTAAAAAATAAAATTCTTTATTGGCATCGATGGTTCCATTTAGAACCTTTAACATCTATGGAACCTTTCAATGGTTCTTTAAAGTGAATAAAGGTTCTTTAGATAATTAAAATGCTCTTTACACAAAGAAAAAACGGTTCTTTTAAGAACTGTTCACTGAAAGATTCTTTGGGGAACCCAAAATAGTTCTTATATGCTATTGCTGCAAAAAGTGTAAGATGGTGCTACGAAAGCTACTGTCTAAAAGGACAGCACAAGAGTATAAGGCTCTGGTAATTTTTCCAGCCCATTTAAGACACAATCCCAGTTTGTGGTTTGGTATGTATTAACCATGGATTAAATCTGTAAACTAGTTGACACTACACATAATTAAAAAGTCTTGCTTTGGGGAAGGGGATTTTCTAATTAGAGAAATAGTGGCAAAGCTGCAGTTCCTTTGCCTCCGGTAAAGTTGAGGAGCTGAGGGGCAGAGCTGGGATAAAATCCAGGCCTGCGGCCCCAACCAAAACACAAGGCTTTGTGGTGTTCCATCATTACCTCACCACATAATTAACTACAGACAAAACAAAATGTAGCATAATGTATGCATGCTAGCCCAA